TATATATATATATATATATGAGAGAGAGAGATAGCTGTATATATGGTTTAGTACTCATTAGATTAAGTGACTAATGTAATGACCACCTTATAGGGTTTTAATTTAAGCTACTCAGTCTTCATGGCTTACCTCTATTTATGAAGGTTCACTCTGTGGGCTGGTGCATTATTGTGAGGTTTGTCATGAAAGGTCATTGTTTTGCTTTTACTGCTTCGCCACGTTACTTATGTCTGCATCGATTTATATCAAAGCAGACGGTTTCTTCGTTTACAAGGCCCTTTACTTTCAACGTGTCTCAGACTTCACAAAAGTAACTTAATTTCTAACCCGACAGGCGAAAATGAAAGGTCTTGATCAAAAGTGTGTCTGTGGACGCGAAGTCTTGGGTAGAATTACTTTTTTAGCTGAAGTCAAATGGACTAACGATATTTTGGGTGTAATCCACAGTTATATCATTTGTATATCCATTTGTATTCTTTGCCTCTGTCGCTAACCCGTGGGAATGGTGCAATTCGTTTTCAAGGTTAAAATGAGCTGTTCCTCTTACTTGAGGCTACTAATAGTCTACTTAATGAACTTTACATTTGTCTAAGGACCAAATTACACACTAATATCAAGCCTTATTCTTCTGATGAATGAATATCTTTTCGCCATCACTCTATAATAGCCCAAAAGTATGATTAGGCTTGGCTAGCGTCAGTAAGAGGTAATCGTGGTAAGCATTTTTTGTTGATGGAACTATCGTTATTAAGGTGTTTTAATTATTTTAATAAAATATTCATGTAAGCTTCTTTATATCTTCTCTGATGTATTTAAAAGCTGTATAACCCTAGTTCTAGCTGATACAAATATTCATAAGTTGTGAGCGATTTAAATATAGAGGTAATGGATCTTTTCTAAGATTATTTCGTCTTAATTTTGTGATACACGAGCTTTATACGGAGAAATAGCCGAATGACAACTCAATTGTGCATACATGAAGTTCTAGCTACAAAAATATACGTACGCTTACAATATAGTCCGAATTGATACAATAGTCATAAGACATCATCTCTCGAGACATACCTATTCCACATTTTGACTGACACTGAAACGAGTTTGATAGTCACTTTAAATTGTTTCGGCTACACCGGACCCACACAAGCAAGTTTTATTAATTCACTCTAAAAAATAAAAGATAAAAAACTTAAATGTAGGCGGACTTTATCAGAAGCATGAAGCCGACTGGGCCATTTGATGCTAACTCCATGCCATTTCCTACAACTACCCTCACTAAGCATCACTTCCATATGTCCGAAAGCAAGCATTTGTTCTAATATGGCCTATTAGCCTAAAATTATTGCCCCTCTTAATGGCATTAACACCTTGGTTGGGTGTTGAATTAAGGGACTACTTGCTCACTAGCAATAAACATAATTTTGACGGAATTAACTCTTTTGTGATAGTAATGTAAATCGAAGTGTCCAAGTGGGGCATCGTTTCTCAAGCATTATCTTTACTTAGCATTGCTGGCCTCATTTTGCTTTACTGCTTTGTCAGCATCATCAGTTTTGACATTCTTAGCGCCAAGCTACAACTCACCAAGTCAGATAGACAAGTGAAGTCATTCTCTTGACTGGTTTTCCTCTGTTGTGTTATCACTCATCCTGTTCTTTCCTCGTGGAACCACCTACAACTTTTAAGGGTCTGGCCGTCACAGGAACAGAAAGACGGGTAATCATAACCATCCTAGGAATTTGACATGATTGTCAGTAGATCGGAGTCAAAGTCACTAGAAATCCACTCATCAGGAGACAAAAGGTTGGCTTACACAGATTGCGCAAGATACGCAGGTTGAATCATAGCTTAGTAGCTTAGTACAACTACAATATACTTGCTGCCAAAGGTTTGTGGCAAACCATGAAAAATATTTTGCGTAGATTAAACATGTACTGGGACTGGGTCCGAATGATATTAGTCAACCAAGAAGATCTGAAACGGAGCTCTGGGGCCACGAGGGAGATTCAGACAGGAGGTCTAAGTCGGATAAGAAATTCCGGGAAATCGTGGAGGGGGCGAAGTGAGCAAGCAGGTATTATAATGCCACACTAAACTCGCCAAAATGGCATACATATAGAGGAGTCGAATATAAACATGTCAGAGGTTGGATTAGATTGGGAGTGAAATACATTAGGAGCAGTTATAACACAACAGTTTTACAGAAAGTTGATCAAGAGATTGACTTCACTTGTCTCTGACGAATTGTAGCGTAGTGCCAAAAATTACCACATTCACTAATAATGTCGACTATTATGCCGTCAAAACGTCTGGTAATGTACCAAGTCCACAGTCCAACGTAAATTATCATAACTACTATATCAGAAGAGTATGGACAAGCTGCTTCCAACTAGGTCGCCTTGACAAAAGTACCAACTTGTCACAAAGAAGTCAGATTATTTTGGTTTGCTGCTTTTTACTAGTCGTAGGTTAATAGAGAATATACGTTTGCTTTTTGCATTCTAGTTATGAAGGTTTTATTAATTGAACCATAATTTCTTTAAACTTCATTCATCATGTGTTAATCATTAGCTTGGTTAACGCATTTCGTTTTTTAACTTTAATAGTCCTTGATATTGTTAGTGATGGGGCTACCTGCTTATATCAGCATTTTAAATGTGCTCTAGTTCTATTTCCTTTTATAAATTCCTTAATCACGCTTCTGACTCGTTCAGACTTTAGATTAGCTTGAGCCGGGAGAGCGTTATCATTCTCGTAGACTTCAACTAAGAATAAATGGTATTTATATAAATTATTGCATGGTCATCTGGCATTGTGTATTGTTTATGGTTTATTTCTCTTTTTTAGCCTCATTCCCAAAGTTCGGATCCAATCGATTTGAATGAGCTTGTCCGTTCCTGCGATTGTCAGGATATGAAAAGTTCCAACCTGTCGCCTTTTGGGGCTCGCGGGCTTCCTCGGGTCTCTCTGCGCACTATCCAGCTAGGGACAGACCTCGGCCAGCGGGCTCGGATACATCCCGATCCGATTTTCTCAGCTTGCCAACCCATTGAATCGCCCTTATGTTCATTTAACCCGGTGGGCCAACTTCGCAAAGAACCAATTATTGAGTTGTCTTTACCTGAATCTGCATTGGCTGCCGAGGATCGGTTTTCCCAAACCCCTATCTCCTCATCTCCAGGCTTCTTGTCGGCCCCCTACTCTTTTGGACCATCACAAATCCTTATAAACAACAAATATGGTACTGGCGCCTCGGTTTCTTGTACATCGGGACCATCTGTTGCTGAAATTTCTTGTCCTGCTGAAGGCCTCACCACCATCGTGTCTTCAATAGCAGCCCAGCCACATTTGCCTGCTTCTGATTCCTGCCTGGTTGGACCTGCAGCTTTCACACGACCTGTCAGACGGCGACGTAGGAGTCTGCTTCCAAATGTTCACGAGCTAATGGATGCGACTGCAGCAATAGGCGCTACCTGTCTCGCACGAACTCGCTGCATCAATGGTAATACCAGCCCTGGTTTCTGTCCAGGAACCGGTTCCACTTCCCTTTCTTCTGCAGCGTTTAAATCGTGTCTTCACTTTTATGATCATCTGCAAGGGACCACTACTAATCAGCAACAGCAGCAGCCTGTGGGGTTGATGGGCCAGCTTGTTCGCTCCATGGATGCTAATGGACTATCCGAGGCGATAGCTTTAGCCACTGGTGTAATGGAGACGACTACTGCCTTACGACTTGGTAAATCCGTCCCTGGTGCGCTGACTTTTGGTCCAAGTCTTACCACTGCCACCTCTTCAGCCTCTGCATCTGGTGTCGCGAAAAGACGTTATAAATATAACCGGTTACATAAATCTGCTCGTTCATCTCTTGCTTTCCAGTCACTTATGGAATTTCATAAAACCCAGCCAAACACTGGAGAGGCACTTTTATCTGGGCTTACAGCCAGCCTTACCTCCAGTGGCAGCGAGTTACGCCAGATAGATGGGAATAATCCGACCGAGACAGCGATGACAAAGGCGAGGGAGGAGACGGCTGGGGATCAGGGCCAAATTGATTGGTTGCTCCAAGCGATTACTGTTTGTCCTGACCTCTGTGGATTTTTAAACAGTTCTGAACAGTCTTCTAATGGGGCTGGCAGTCTGCCCCAGACTTATACTGCTTTTTTATCAGTTCCCTCTTTACCTCGGAGACTTATGACGCCTACAATGACAGTATCTGGACGACCAGTCGACTGGCTTGTGCGCAGTCCATTCTTGCAGGCTTGGGAAGCTGAACTGGATCGCCCAGCCGGTGGACTTTGGCGGCTTCGACGTCGACTTTGTCTGCAGCTGAGTAAGGTATGCCAAGCCAGGCAGCACGAACAAGACTGTAAATCAAAGGTTAGTTTTATTCTTTGTTCCATCTTTATATTTTTATGTGTATGAATATGGTTACTTTTGAAGTAACTTAAACCCGGATAGAAGTTGTTTGACCTTTTTTTTCGCGACTTGGTTATATTGGTAGAAAGACCTAGAGGAACACATCTAGTCCGGAGTACAATGTATGCATGATGGTTCCCAAAGTCGGACCGTGGACGTCGTACATTCCCAGACGTTTTGCCGGCATCGTAGTTGGCATCGTCAGTGAGCCTTGCTATTCCTAGTACCATATTACAACTCGTCTCTAGGTCTTTCTACCACTGACCAAGTTACGAAGAGAAAGTCAAACCACTTCTGTAAAACGCACGGAGACTGCTACTATACAAAAGGCCACATCTTGGTCTTCATACCTTCGATTTAACCCGGATTGTTGGATTATACCTTATCAAAAAGTTAGCTTGAGCTAGCAATTTTACCACGATCCTTGATTTGTGTTATTTGGTCCTGCTCTAATTATATGCAATGCTTTGGGTATTCAAGGTCTCTGAACCTACCGTCTTGGAAGTTTGGAGCAAAAACGCATTCTGGAGTGACCCTTGATTACTATGCTTCCGCCTTAATTCTCCCTCAAGACCATAAATTTTGTCTCAATAAAGCACATTATTTGAGAATGAATTTTTATTAACTGCCAAAAACGGGGGAGCGACAAATTACATTTATCGCTTGTTATTGTTATTATTCGACTTTATTTTAACTAATTATACCTAAAGAATTATCTCGATATCCAGAAGCCTACTGTAAAGCTAGAAGACTAGAATGTCATGAGATGTATTCACCATATTCTGTTGAGGAGATGAAGGACTGATAATTGAATTTTCCCACAAGGATATGAGTAGGCCTTGCGTTTCAATTGAATTTAACAC